GTTTTAAGTTGTCTGGGTGTCCCATCACTAATCAGGGGCATTCTAGTAACTTCCTGTATCATTGTACTACACCATAATATAAATAATAGTACTGTCGACTGAGCAGTGTAGTTCGACATTCCAGCATCTCTTCTTCTTCTCTTTTCTGCTACTTCGGCTACAGTAATTTAGCTTTCACAAATTACATTTTTAGTATCACAATAAGAGAGGGACTAAATTAAAAAATGGGGGTATTTTAGCCAAGAAGAAAAGTTCCACACCCTCTTTTATACTTTTAATAAATAGTAATTATATTACATATAATAGTAATAATACATGCATTCATACGTATGTATGTATGTATTCACACACATGAACACCCTCATTTGACACACACACACAGACAGATGATATCCAATAATATTAGTATTACATGAAGATTTATTTATATCTTATTGATGAAATATATTTCTACCAAAAATATATGATATGAAAGGTTACATTCTTAACAATTTCAGCATTCTTAGGGCCTAAACTTTAAAACCTAAGCTGGAAGTTGAAAAGTAGGTGTGGGTAGTCAGTCTGGTTTGGATATTGGGATGGGCGGATGGCATGGTGATATAAACTGATGGTACAGAAAATATTTTTCTTAAATTAAAGAATGTAATGAAAAAATAACCGAAAGAAAAATTGGCCCATGTTCAGGAATGGCTAAAAGCTTTTGCAAATGCATGAGCTGCTGGATTGCAGTTCGGCTCCAGTTATTGTGGAAGAGTTTGCTCAAGACTGTTCTCCATGGTAGTTCGGATATTTGCTGAGATTGGTTCACTCTTTTGGTGCCTCTTTGAACGCCTCAATCAACTGGGGTCCTAGGAGTGCCAATATGCTAACTGATCAGTTGGAAAGAATTGGGGTAGGCAGAGAAAATTGGGACTAGGGATGCCCAGGGCTGGGCTATAATTTGTAAGATCTTTTTTTCCCCTGCTTTCTCTGTTTATGCTTGTATTTTGGGCTGTTGTGGCTGAAGCTGTTGTAATCTGCTCATTGTTTTGAGCCCTTCTCTTGTTTCTCTTGTTCCCCCCTCTCTCTCTTCAATGAAAGTTTCTGTTGATTATCAAAAAAAAGTTGTGGACTATGTCTTTTCTTATTATCGAGTACATGATATATTTTCCAGTCTTATGCATGGAACCAGGTCCTTTGTTAGTGTGGAGGAATGCAATAATACACTAATACAACTTCGTCTTTCTGATTTCTGATTGCAATTTGGTCTTGAACCAATATTTCAATCTTCTGATTGTGCTGTTTGTTCATTTGTGTTAGAATCAACAGTACAAGGGTACTTAGGTCTTTTGTCTATCTAATTGAGATTGAATAGTCCGTTTTGTCTGAGTTTAAGTTATGTGTCCCATACTTAATGAGGTGAGTGAATAGTTTTCTCTCCTAGACCGAACCCTTCTTCTCCTCTTCCTCTCTTTCTCCTTCTATTCTTCTTCTATTCTTCTTACATACTTCGGACCTAGAACTGAACTAGGGTTAGTCGACCTATTCACATGGTATCAGAGCAATAAGAAACCGGTTTCGAACTCAATCTTCTTTCATCGCCCTTTGTCCTCCTGGGATCGCCATATCAGAATTTTTTTTGCAGTAACTCTTAGACAGATTGGAAGATTGATAAGGGGCCAAAAAAGGAGTGATCATTTTTTGTTCTTGGAGGTAAATATGGATCTAGTTTCTGTGGTGGTGTACTAAATGCCCTCTACTCGATGATACGAAGGGGGCTGGTTGTGGACAGGTGTGAACAGAAATTTCTATTCGGATAATAGTGGTGTGGTTGTTTTTCTTTGGGCTGGATTTCATTTATGTGGCAGTGTGGATTGGTAGGTATGCATATGAACCTCTTTTCTTTCTGTTTATACCTAGATATGTGTGTTGACAATAGGGTTTTTGAGTGCTGAACTCATGACAACAGTAGTGTGGTCATAATTATATTTTATTGTGAAGTGTGTGGTGTGGTGCTGAATAGTAGAGGGTGACTCTTTTGTTTATTATAGTGATTTCTTTGTGGGGTGAGGTGAATCGGTTAGGATGGCATCAACTGGAGAAGGTGGTGACAATAAGACAAGTGTTATGATTTCTCCTGATTACTTAAATGTTCAAACGACCTCCATTAAATTAAATGGTGAGAACTATGTTCCATGGGCTAAATCTGTGGAGGTGTTTTTAAGAGACAAGAAAAAGGTGAAACATGTGAGAGAGGAGAAACTCTCTTTTGATTCTCTAGGGTTTAGTGATTGGGAACAGGAGGATGCACAGATTATGACCTAGTTGTGGAATAGCATGGAACCTAAAATTAGTGTTAATTTTATGTTCCTGGATAAAACTAAGGAAATCTAGGACCACGCTAAGAAACTTTATTCCGGCCAAGATAATACGACTAGAGTATATCGGCTTTATCAGTACTTTAACCTGAAGCAGGGTAACCAAAGATTGGAAGAATACTATGCAAGCATGAGAAACTTTCGTAATGAGCTTAATGTAAATCATCCTTTGACTCCAGATGTTCAAGTTCAGCAACAACATCGAGAACAACTTGATGTGACAAGGTTTCTAGTGGGTTTAAAGGCTGAATATGAACCTATTCAAGCACAAATACTGGGAGGGTCTGCTATTCCCTCTCTTGAAGAAGTGTTTGCCCGTCTTCAGAGGATTTCTATTGATTCTACATAGTCTTCCTCTCTCTCGGACAGGTCTGGTTTTGTGGTGACTAGAGGGGGAGGTCATGGAAATAGAGGTGGTGGATGTGGTCGTGGGTTTCCAGGAAACCGAGGTGATCATATGTTTAATCGTACTGGTGGCCGTAGTGGAGGTTGAGAGTCAAGGGGAGGTCGTGGTAGAGGAAGAAGTAATGGACCTAGGAAATGCACATAATGTGGATTAGAGGGACATACTATTAATTTTTGTTATGATTTACATGGTCCACCCTACACTTGGGCTAATCATGCTGTGACTAGTGGCAGTGGTACAGTTAGTGAAAACCGACATATTGATTAGACCCCCTCCACATCTACTGGTGCTTTTGGAAAGGAAATGGTGAGTGTCCCAACTCCCACGTGAGGTATATGAGAAATTCCTTCAGACATCCTCTCAGCAGAACATAGCTACTCTTGCCCATTCAGGTATGGCTTGCTTGGCTTCCAAACCCTCACACTGGATCATTGACTCTAGAGCCTCAGATCATATGTCTGGGACTCCAGATTTGTTTTCTTCATTCTCCCCATCTTCTACTTCTCAAACAGTTACTCTTGCTAATGGTTCTACCTCTCCCATCTGCGGTGTTGGTGATGTTGATCTAACCCTCCTTGTCCTTATCCTCTATTTTATATGTACCTAAGCTCCCTTTTAATCTTAGGTGTGTTAGTAGACTAACAAAGTCACTTAATTGTTCTATAACCTTTTATCCCTCTTCTTGTGTGTTTCAGGATCTCAAGACGGGGATGAAGATTGGTGGAGGGCATGAAGCAGGTGGATTGTATTACCTTGATGGTGGTGGCCTGCCAATAGCTTTTCAGTCATCTCTTACCCATCTCCAATGGCACTGCAGACTTGGTCATCCATCTCTCAATGCTTTGAAATTGCTGGTTCCATCCTTAATTCGTCTTCTATTGTTGGATTGTGAGTTGTGTCAGCTTGGGAAACACCGTAGAGTCTCTTTTAGTCCAAGAGTTGATAGTTGTGTCTTGAGTCATTTTTCTTTAGTACATTTAGATGTTTGGGGTCCAAATAAAGTGGTGTCATGCAATGGTTATAAGTATTTTGTAATTTTTGTTGATGACTTTTCAAGGATGACATGACTATCTTATGAAAGATCGAATTGAATTGTTCTCTATTTTCCAAAAATTTTGTGCTGAAATACATACCCAATTTGGAGTTCATGTTAAAATTCTTCGCTCAGATAATGCAAAAGAGTACACACCTCAACACCATTTCAACAATACTTAGAGCACCATGGGATAATTCATAAAATGTCTTGTTTCTATACCCCACAACAGAATGGCGTGGCTGAACAGAAAAATTGACATTTACTTGAAACCGCTCATTCCATTATGCTTGATATGAACGTCCCAAAGCGTTTTTGGAGTGATGCTGTCTTGACATCATGTTTCCTCATCAATTAGATGCCCATGTCCATCCTTGGAAGTCAATCCCCTTTCTTAGTCTTGTTCCCTACTCTTTCTCCATTCCTCTTACTCCTAGAGTCTTTGGTTGTGTTTGCTTTGTTCAGAATTTAGGACCTGGTTTAGACAAGTTAGATGCGCGTGCCACCAAATGCATCTTTCTTGGATACTCCAGGGCCTAAAAAGGTCATAAGTGTTATAACCCTAGCTCTCATCGGTCTTTTGTGTGCTCGGAAGTCACTTTCTTTGAGTTTGTTCTTTTTTTCTCGAGTACTGATGTCCTTCCTCCTGCTCCTATGATTCCACTTCCAGTTCCAATTGAGGACCCCTTTCCAGTGGTTTTAGTTCTGGTTGAGGACCCCCTTCCCGTGGTTCTTGTTCAAGCTCCATCCTCACCTTCTCCAGTGCAGGTTAATACTGAGAGGCCACCAATCACACAAGTGTATACTCATAGAAGAGCACCGGCCCCTCCTCCAGTTCAGCCCTCATTGACAGATCTTGTGGTTGCACTTCCTCCTTCTGAACTTGATCTTTCTATTTCATTGCGGAAAGGTAAACATAGTTGTACATCTCATCTTATTTCTCATTATGTTTCTGTTGCTCACCTTTTTACTTCCCATTGCCATTTTATATCTTTGCTATCCTCTGTTTTCACTCCTAAGACTGTCCAGGAAGCCCTTACTTCTTCAAGGTGGCGACAAGCAATGGAAGAGGAATTGTCTACTTTACAACACAATCACATGTGGGAACTTACTACTCTCCCTCCCGGTAAGCATGTTGTTGGATGTAAGTGAGTCTACATAGTGAAATACCTTCCAGATGGTAGTGTGGAGCGATTAAAGGCCAGGTTAGTGGCCAAGGGCTATTCTCAGTTATATGGTGTTGACTATACGGAGACGTTCTCTCCTGTGGCTAAGATTGGTTTAGTTCAGGTGTTAATTTCAATAGCAGCAATGTATGATTGGCCTCTCTTTCAGTTAGACATCAAGAATGCCTTCTTACATGGTGATCTAGTTGAGGAAGTATATATGGAGCAACACCAGGGTTTGTTGCTCAGGGGGAGGATGATAAAGTTTGTAGACTTAAGAAGGAAATCTATAGGCTGAAACAATCTCCACGTGCGTGGTTTGGTAGATTCAGTGAAGTAGTGAAGAACTTTGGCATGAAACAGTGTCAAGTAGACCATTCTGTGTTCAACCATGATTCAAAAGATGGGAAAATCTTGCTAGTGGTGTATCTGAATGATATTGTCATCACTGGTAGTGTCAGCAATGGGATTGACAGGTTGAAAAACTTTCTACAAGATCACTTCCACAAGAAGGATCTTGGTAAGCTGAAATACTTCCTGGAAATAGAAGTTGCAAGGTCAAGGCATGGAGTTAACTTGTGTCAAAGGAAATATGTCTTTGACTTACTTGAAGAAATAGGGCTGTTAGGTGCCAAACCAGCTGAAATACCCATGGAACTGAATGCTAAGTTGAGTATTGATGCAGGTGAAGAGTTTGATGATCTTGGAAGGTATAGGAGGTTGGTGGGAAAATTGAACTATCTGATTATCACAAGGCCAAATATATCATTTGTTGTAAGTATGGTGAGTCAATTTATGCAACATCCTCGGGTTCCACATTGGGAAGTAGTTCTAAGAATAGTCAGGTACCTGAAGGGTGCTCCAGGTCGTGGTTTGTTATACAAAAGTGGAGGAACTCTTGAGATAGAAGGGTATACAGATGTTGATTGGGCCAGATCTGTGTCGGATCGGAGGTCAACTACATGATATTATACCTTCCTTGGTGGCAATCTAGTAACTTGGAAGAGTGAGAAACAAACAATGGTGGCAAGGAGTAGCGTAGAAGCTGAGTACAGGGCTATGGCTCATACTACATGTGAACTAGTATGGCTGAAAAATCTCTTGCAAGAAATAGGGTTCTCAATTGACAGGCCCATGAGGTTGTACTGTGATAATCAAGCTGTTGTACACATTTCTTCTAATCCAGTCTTCCATGAGAGAACAAAGCATATTGAAGTCGGCTGCCACTTTGTATGAGAAAAAGTGATCGATGGAGTGATAACTACAGCTCATGTGAGTTTAGGAAACCAGTGGGAAGATTTGTTTACAAAGGGGCCGTCTCGGGGAAGAGTGGATTACATATTTGACAAGTTGGGACTATATGACATATATTCTCCAGCATGAGGGGGAGTGTTAGAATCAACAGTACAAGGGTATTTAGGTCTTTTGTCTATCTAATTAAGATTGAATAGTCTGTTTTGTTTGAGTTTAAGTTATGTGTCCCATACTTAATGAGGGACAATATTGACTTTTGTAATTCAATATATACAATATAAATACAAAGTGGGTCGGCTGGGTGAGTGAATAGTCTTCTTCTTCTATTCTTCTTACATACTTCCGACCTAGAACTGAACTAGGGTTAATCAACCTATTCACAATTTGGAAATTCAATGAATTGCTAAAATGTTATTAACAATTTATACTTTATGAAGTTACTGCAATAGGTTTCTTCATTGATGTCAACAACTAATTTCTTGGTGCATTGTCTGTTCCATTTCCAGGTAGAAGAGAACAAAGTAGAGAGTATTAAAAGAGATAAAGCAGCAACTGAGAAATTACTGCAAGAAACAATAGAAAAACACCAAGCAGAACTTTCTAGTCAAAAAGAATATTACATGAATGCTCTGAATGAAGCCAAGGAGGCTGAAGCATTAGCTGAGGCACGGGCCAACAATGAAGCCAGAACTGAACTTGAGTGTCGTCTGAGAGAGGCTGAAGAACGTGAAGCTACACTTGTTCAAGCACTTGAAGAATTAAGGCAAACTCTTACTCAGAAGGAACATCAGGTACTTGTTTGAATCATGAGGTGTTGAGCTTGCTAAGCTAACTACCAGGATATTATGATCATTTTTGTGGTTTGATTGATTTTGTAGGCAGTTTTTAGAGAAGACATGCTTCGGAGGGATATTGAAGATCTTCAGAAGCGTTACCAAGTATTCCTCTGAACTTCTTGTGACTATGTCACTAGATTAAAAGCGGCTCCTTGAATATTTCTATTTATTTGTTACCAATGCTTTTCAAACTTTGGGTTGATATTGGTTCAGCTATTTTCCAGGCAAGTGAACGCCGGTGTGAGGAGTTGATTACACAAGTTCCTGAGTCTACTAGGCCACTTTTAAGGCAAATTGAAGCTATGCAGGTTCAGTTCTCAAATTGATAGATTTTCAGGCAAAAGAGTGTTGATTCTGTCAAGAAATTTTATGTCTTACACCCCCTCCAATTGGTTATTCAGTCTTTTGAATTTGATCTGTTTTTGAATGATTACAGGAGACAACAGCCAGGAGAGCAGAAGCCTGGGCTGCTGTGGAGAGATCCCTAAACTCTCGGCTCCAGGTTTTAGGAGTTTTGAAATGATTTCTTTCCCATATTTTCTGATTGAATTTTTGTCCTTGGGCGTTGTTAGCCTGAAATCTTTTTGCCATTGGATTAACAGGAGGCAGAGGCCAAAGCTGCAGCTGCAGAGGAAAGTGAGCGGTCTGTGAATGAACGCTTATCTCAAACCTTATCTCGTACAAATGTTCTTGAAGCACAGGTTTTTTCTTTTTTCTTTGGCCATGAGTTATTTGTAATTGTTGAAGCCTTTACTGGGATGTTCACTTACTCAAGTGAGATATTTTAGATTTCATGTCTTGGAGCAGAGCAAACACAGCTAAATCGGTCCCTTGAAAAGGAGAGACAAAGAGCAGCTGAGAATAGGCAGGAATACCTTGCAGCAAAGGAGGAAGCTGACACTCTTGAAGGTCGTGTCAGTCAACTTGAAGAAGAAGTCAAGGAGCTCAAGAAGAAACACAAACAAGAGTTGCAAGATGCACTGGCGCAGAGGGAATTATTACAGCAGGTTCTTTTTCCTGTTGAACAATCAAACTTCTATATTGTCATGCTTATTGACTTTAGCGACATTCTTTGGATTTCTGCCAAACAGATGAAATGCTTTTCTGGAAATGGGTTGGACTCAAAACAGTATATTGACTAGGAATGGCTCTTTTTGCTTGCACTTGAAATAGCCATAATATTATTTCCACTAAATACATTACTAAGAAAGGAAATTGCAAGGAAATATTTATTTCCCACCCTGTTTGGTTGCAATGTCAATTCTTCCACACCTATCTCCACAAATCATGGAACACAATGGTCCCTATGTTTCATATGCCACTTTATCTAATTATCCTACATGGATAGTGGTGAATACTTATTTTCTGGATTGTATCAATTATTAGTTATCTGACATGTTTAACTTTTATAGCCAAATATATTGGATATAAAAAAATTCTTTAATGAAGTTTCACTTAATTCTATATTTCTTTTTATACTTCTCTTTGATGAAAAAAGTGCTAAATGTTTGGGAGTTTCAGTGTTGTTCATTTTCTGCACTGTCAAGTCATATTTGATCTTTATGTTTTTGAGGGGTGAGGGATGAAGAAGAGTGAATCCCCAATTAATAACTTGTAGAAAATTGATATCTGAAGCACAAGCCATCTTCTCCCACCAAAGAAAGAAAACACACACAAAAAAAGGAAGTTTAGTTTGGAAATGTGTTTATTTCTAGTCAATATATGCATGAAAAAAAATGAAATGATGATATTCATTTGGTGCTATTCATTTTTCCTGTTTACTTGATATATTGCTGTCAGAGTTTCCATTTTGGGTTGTTTGTGTTTATGTTTTTTGTCTTTTGATCAACTTGTCACCATTCAAGGAAAAAGATTGATTAAAGTCACTTTACACGTAGTATTGTCGATTCCTTATCCACTGTGATTGTCCAAAGTGACCTCTTTTTCAACAATATTTACAATATTGAGATATGTTCACAAATATACTATCTGATCTGCTCACATTTGCAGGGAAATTTTGAACTTAAATATATTTAAGTTACAAGCCAAAGGGGAATACTTGTACAAACCTCATCTTGTCTTTTGTAATGGCTTCTGAAACTCAATTGAGTTAAACTAGATATGGAAGCTCTGGAAGCTGAAGGGGAAAACTAGTACAAATTCTTTCTTTTTCTGTGCGAATTACCAAAATATTCTTGAGTGAACTAATGGGACAAGGTCCCCAGGTAGATGAGGTCAACCCAGTTTTCCTCTTAATACCTGGATGTTTTCAAGCTATGATTGAAAAGGAACATATTATAACATCCCATCCCCTGTTTTTTCATTGTTTAAAATATTTTACTTAAATGGAACATAAGTACGTTGTTTACATGTTCAGTGTTTGTGATAAGAAATTCAGGCAATTGATGAGTAGATCTGTTAACCATCATGTTTCATTGTTCATTCTATATAGGGTATTCTGTTCCTAAAATTTATGTTCAGTGCCGAATTCCTGACTTGAGTACCTGTTATAGGAGTTGGAAAGGGAGAAAACTGCTAGGTTGGACTTGGAAAGGACTACTCACATTGAACCTTCTGCAATATCTGATCAAGCTCTGACATCAAAGCCTTGTATTGACAATGGTAGTCCATGGTTTAAGTTGTGCCACTTCATTGTCCATAGTTTTGTCTCTACCCATTGATTATATCTTCACATTTGTAGGAAATGCCTCTATGCAGAAGCTTTCTAATGCTAGAAGCCTAGGCAGCATGGAAGAGAGCTTCTTCCTACAAGCATCTTTATCTGACAGCTTTTCTGAGCAGAGACATCTTGGTGAGACCACCACGACACCTTATTATTTAAAGAGCATGACACCAAATGCTTTTGAATCAACACTCCGTCAGAAGGATGGCGAACTTGCATCATACATGTCTCGTTTGGTATGGGTCATTCATCATATGTTTTCTTCCCTATCTCTTACGTCTGACCTGGGAACATGTTTGTGGGAACACCTTGACTCGTCATTCCTATATAGTTTTTCACACACACACACTCTGTCAGAAGGATGGCAAACTTGCATCATACATGTCTCGTTTGGTATGGATCATTCATCATACGTTTTCTTTCCTATCTCTTATGTCTGACCTGGGAACATGTTTGTGGGAACACCTTGACTCTTGTCATTGCTATATAGTTTTTCACACACACACACATACACGCATATATCTATATATTGCTTCTAGTTATATAGTTTTTCATTATTGGTACTTGAATGCATTCCTGTGGTACACCAACTTGCTTCAAGTGTACCAAGCAATTTTCTTCTCAAAGTGACTGTTATATTTGTACTGTCTAGTCTCTTTGCAAGTTGATATAATCTTGTCATGTTTTTTATGCCTTCATTTAATGTTTCTTTTCTAATGAGATTCTTTCATTGTCAGGTAAAGGCTTATTTTTTATTCCTTTTAAACCTAGAAATCCTATCATTCTTTAAGCCTCTTTTTCATGTGGCACAGGAATTTCACGTGCTTCTAGATTTTCCTCCATGTTATTAATGTTGAGTTCTAGTCTATTTTAGATCATCATCTTCATGTTATTAATGTTATTAATGTTGAGTTCTAGTCTATTTTAGATCATCATCTTCATATTATTAATGTTGAATTCCATTGCCTTATCCCAACTATATGGGGTTGGCTACATGAATCCTGTTTTGCCAATCCATTCTATTTAAAGCCATATCCACCGTTAAATTATTAGTGCTTAAATAATTTCTTACTACTTCTATCCATGCCCTTTTTGGTCTATCCCTAGCTCTTCTATCCCCTTCCACTTGTAACAAATCACTTCTAACTCCAGTCTATTTTAGACGACTGTTTTAATTTCTACTTTGATCATTTGCTTCAGGCATCCTTGGAATCCATTCGTGACTCTCTTGCAGAGGAATTGGTTAAAATGACAGCACAGGTCTGTTTACATTAGTTTCTCTCTGCTCTTATTTCTTGTAATATTGCTTAACTTGAATTACTATGGTTGTTCACAGAGTGAAAAATTACGAACAGAGGCATCTGTGCTGCCTGGCTTATGGGCAGAGCTAGAAGCATTAAGAAGAAGGCATTCTAAAGCATTGGAGTTGATGGGTGAACGTGATGAAGAGGTGCGTATTGCATTGGATTCTATTTACACATATAGGCTTTACCTGGTTAAAGTTTTCGTTTCTTTTGGCTTCTTTTCCCCTAGGAAACAATGAGATCTTTTCCTGGCAATCTGAGAACCAATGCATGTGCTAGCTGTATTGCTGTGGGTTCAGGTTCTTGTTTCCTTTACTAAAAGTTTGAATGCAATGCATGCACAAAGCAGACGGATGCAGTGGGACAAAAGCATGTCAAAGCTAGCATATTACACTGAGAAATGAAAAGAAAAGAAGCTAAACAAGAATTAGATAGAATAGAAGACATTACATGAAATCTCACTCCTTTTTTCTTAATTTCCTATCATATTGTCATTGTCTAGACTGAATATCTCTCCAAAATGCTGATCTTTTGGGATTGATTTGTTTTATTGAACATTTTTTTTTCTCTAGAGAATTATTTTGTCATGAAAATTTTCTAGAATTTATTTTCTTATATTAGTTTTCTTGTTGTTTGGGAGCAACCTGAAAAATAAATTTTTAATAAGGCAAAACTTTCAAAATGGATCCAATAAATCAAAGGACCCAACTATGTATTACTCACCAAAACATCCCATTGTCCAAGTGGATGGAAAGTGGTGGTCTTTGTATCAAGTGTTGTAATGGATATTTCTATATTTTTTGCTAATATGGCAGCTACTTTTGTTTTAAAAAACAAAACCATACACATTGGTGAACACCCCCTAAGATGGTTGTTTTCCTATGGTTTTCTTAAAAAGTGATTTTTTGCCAATTTTTATGATTTTATTTTTCAAACCAAAAGCAACTGCCACAAAAAAAAATCTTGTTGTTTTTGCTGATGTAGCATTTTTTTTTTTATTTTCGAAAACAAAATCATACATATTGGTGAATGCTCTGTAAGAAAAATGTTCCCCCCTGGAGTAAAATCCTGGAAAATATTTTCTTTCCCAAGTCTCAATACCTTGCTACGAGATTTCAGAGATTGCAAAAACTAGTTTACTTTTTATAGATTTGTTGAGGACTCATTAATCATGTCTAAGATTAAACTATAAAAACTAGTTTACTTGCTATGAGTCTAACTTGGCAGGATATAAAATTCTGGTTTAGTTGAAGTTTTGATTTTTGTGAAGCCTTAAAACTGTATTGGGGCACTTGGAAGTTCAAAGAAAGGGAAAAGCAACACTTCAGGGTCTTTGTTGTGTACTGGCACATGATTCAGTTGCTTTTGGTGTTCCTGTTTCTGGTTCTAGTACTAAATTTGAAAATGGGTTTTGTTTCTTATGGATCTAAAGTGATAACTGTTGCAAGTATATATATATTTGCAGCTGGAAGAACTTCGAGCTGATATTGTGGACTTGAAGGAGATGTATCGAGAACAAGTAAACTTGCTTGTGAACAAGGTACTTGTTTTCCCTGGAAGCTGTATTCTGTGTTTGTTTTATGCTTATAGACTTTCTTGTCTTGCCTTTTCATCATTATCCTTGTTACCATGTTACCAGATTCACAAATTGAGCTCTTCTGTGGGTGCTCTTGATCATTGAGTTTAGCAACAGAATTCCATTTCATTCTGATCATGTGGCTTTCACGGTTTCACCATATAGCTTATCCGATTCTTTGCTTGGGTGCTTCATACAGTATGAGCCATTTTTGATGGTTATATTATTAACTGTGTTAGTGCCTTAGTGCCTTGACCTAAAGCTAGGCTTATTGTTGTATAGCATTAGTGAGGATACAGATGAAAGAAATGTTAAAAATGGCAAGAGAGTTCTCTATTATTAGCTTGGAAAGAAATTTTTTTAGTGAACTAACTATTGAAAATATGCCTTTTTCAAGGCCTTCCTATTAATGTTAATTATCCAATTTAAAGCTTGTAATACTATCAGAGAGTTGTAATTGTAAACTGTCTCTTGTCAATGAACTTGGTGCTCTCACCCGTTTAGGAGGAATATTGCTTTGTAAAGGCAAGACCTTTAATATAATTAATTATTGGTTTCAAGCCATCTCTCGCTATGTATCCACAATTGACATATTCTCAATGGATCAGCAGCTCTTCTCTGCGTATACCAGAGTACGGTAAGCCCATGCAAAAGAAATTAGAAGGCCTCAATTGCAGAATTTGCAGCTTCCATTTTCCCCGGGTTACTGGTTTATGAAACCGAGTAATGGGAAAGATGGACAGATAGCAGGACCAACTGACTATAGGGATCTAGAATCCCTTTTTTCTTGGTAGCAGGTAACGACGTTGGGTTTGAGACTTCGATAGTTGAGGTGACAAGCTTATAGGCGGAGCTGGGTTGAAGATTTAACCACCAATACCAGGCAGTTGCTTCTTTGCGTGTAGAGATAATTCTTATGTTTGTAACTTTGTACTACAATTTCATTTGCATTCGTACAAATGCATTAGAATGCCAAAGAGAAGAATGCAAATTCTGGCTCACTTTTGCTTTCAGTTTTACTTCCCTTCGATTTTTATTTTATTTCGTCTGGTTGCAAAACTAAAATAGAATGTGCACCCATACTTATGCACCAGTGCTTCACTGCTTCACAAGTAGCCGAGTCCATCCCCTTAAACTCCGACCCTGGTGGCAGCCGAATTTGATCATTGGGCCCTATTACAACAAGTCAGAGATCATACCAATTGAGCCATCATCAGTTGTTTTATTTTTTGGGAGAATGATGGTTAAGCCCAGGGCCAGAATTTTTAGGCCTAAAATACAGTTGAAGTAGCAGTTCGGAATTGACACCAATTTAGGGATGAACATTGGTGTATAAAATAGGGGTATTTAGCATTTTAAATGTTTATAGGTCTGTAGTAGAATTCAGAAATCTGCATTGAGCCTGTATTTTAGGGATTGTCTCAAATCAGTCCTAGAACTTTGAGAAACTAGGTCCCTATCTGTTAGTAAAATAAAAAAAATACCCATCAGTTATCATCAAATTTTTTTTATTTGCCACTTCTACGTGAACCAATTCGAGCAGAGCAGCTTAATTTGGTAGCTCTTCAAATGAGGCGACTGTGGTGGAGAATCATTGCCTTCGTTAATGTTAAAGTCCAGGTCTTCATAGAATAAAAACCAGTACCTTGAAGAGAATAAATACCCATTAGGAATGAAAAATCCGTTCAGGAATGGACTGATGAAACCTAATTATTTCATTGGTCAATTCCCGACACTGTCGTAAAACCAATCAAACCTAATTACAGGAATTACAACACGACAATCCAATTGGTCATTCAATGGAATCAGAAACCCCAATTAGCCAGAGAGACTCCTTGTGTTGTCGTCATCACCTCCGGAAAAGGCGGCGTTGGAAAAACCACCGCCCCTGCCAATTTGGGTCTCTCCTTCGCTTGTCTTGGCTTCTATTGCTGCCATTGATGCCAATGTTGGCCTCCGCAACTCGACCTCTTTCTTGGCTTGAAAAATCGAGTGACAATTTGGTTCTCAAACTTTAAAATGCGATAATGTAGTACTTAAACTTTTGAAATGCGACAATCTGATACTTGCCATTAGCGGATCGTCAACTAAAGCCATCATGTGACATCATATGTGGGTTAAATAATTAAAAAAATGTCAAAATTACCGTTATTGATAATTTTTGGACCATTTCCCCTTTCTCTTTAAACAAATAAAAGAAGGGAAAAAAGGTTCTCTTCAGTCTTGGGTTGGAAGACCGACGAAGGAGGATCTTCGATCTCCATTGTTGAGTGTGCGGACCTCTTGCCTTAGCACCATAAACAATAAGTCTCCGGCATCAATCTCAACCACGCTGACAATGTTGGGTATCTCCCACCTGAGCTTGGCCTCTTAACGGATCTGGCTCTTTTCCACCATAACTTCAACCATTTCTGTGGTATCGTCTCAAGTTGCTCCACGAGCTCGACCTCAACAACAATCGCTTCGTCAGTTCGTTCACCTACGATGTCGTCAAACGTATTTATTATGATGCCCTTTGTTTCCTTGAACCTATGGCAGTGATAGGGGAACCATGTATAGCCATCTTCATTCCTGTTCCATATGGCTGGGCATAGGCAACAAGAATGGAGGATAAGACCCAGTAGGTTGGGAATTTTAACCTAGTCTTTGCGTCCTTAAACTTGGCGCTAGTGGGAATTTGAGTATTGAGTGTTGGAAGGTGGAGCATAAGACCCAGTAGGCCAGCGGTAGAAGAGAAGAACAAGTACGAAGGGATGCCAAACTCGTTGGCTACATCGATCGTGGAGGTGCAGAAGAAATTGATCACCAACCTAGCGAATCAAACCGTGCCAACATCAAAACTGGACAACATAAGTTGGGTGAGAGAGTGCCTAACGTGTGGTTTGTGACTTTCAATGAAGGGAGATGCGAACCCTTCCAAACTTATATAAACTTTTGACGGCGGTGGGTTGACCTGAGGTAGAGCAATGAAACAGATGCCAGGGGTGGAGGCAGCAAGAGGTTCGACATAAGGGTCAATACCACAAGAAGATGGTGGACATAGGACGGTGGTGGAGAGGCGACATCTTGATCGATTAGTCGCTTCACGAGCCCAACCGTTTAGATTGGACTTCTGGTTTGCCTTCTCTGGCGCCAGCAACAAGCATTTGTCTTCTCCAGCACTAGAAACAATTGTTGAGATTGTCCACAATGTGGCTTGTTATTGGGTTTCACATGGTTTCATCGAGCAGCCTGAAGCGTGAAGCCTCGCATCGCATCACCACACCTTTTCTCTTCAGTCTTCACCGGCAACAAGCGTTCGTCTGGTTTGCCTTCACATGGTTTCATCTTTTTTTTTTTTTTAATTAAAAAAAGAGAGGAATCATTTATCGCAACGATGGGTAATTACACCATTTTACACATTGGTTGGCGGTCTATTAACAAGAAGTACTAGATTGTGGCATTTTAAAGTTTGGGATTAAATTGTCACTCAACCAAAGTATAGGGTGAATTTTCCCGATATATTATATATTATATAATGTATTTTGGTTAGTTCGGTTAACTGGTTTTTTAATTTTGAAATCAAACTAAAAACCGAAATTTATAGAAAACTGAATTAATCGAACAAAAAAATCGAAATCAAAATTTTTGGTTTTAACTGAATAATGCTCACCCTTAGCATGAAGGCAGTGATGGTTGAAGAGGAGCCAAAGAAACACAGACTTTTCTTGTTTCTTTGGATGTTATGCAGCTGAATTTCATAGGTTTGCTGAACAAGTTTTTTTTAATTCATCAGATCATAGTGATTTGGGCTCTGTTTCAATTTCAAGGATTTGGGCTCTATCTCAATTTCAAAGTAGAAGACAATGAAGAATGTCTTTTTTTAAGGATAGTTTTGACATTTTTAAAAGTTTTAAGTTGCACATGTCATTATATAAGTGACAAACGACAAAAAACTATTAAACACATCTTGAAAGTTTAGTTACTACATAGATAGGTTTTGAAATTCGGGGAGTGACAACCCTGAAGTACATGCCATTGATCAGAAATTTTCCCTTTTTTTTTTAAGCCATCATCAGTTGCTTTCTTGCATGATTTTCAATCATGTAATTGTTAGTTAAAAGAAAGAGTTATACCGCGTTGGAGTACTGTGTACTTTATAGCTATAGGTCATGGTTTTTAAAACTGAATTGGACAATGAATCGGTTAGGGGTCTAGTTCTCGGGTTGAATGGTCTGACTGTTTGAATCAAATGGATGATCTGTTTTGACAAAAAAAAAAAAACGGCCAAATCGTTGAACATCTTGAATGGTTTGAGCGTCTGAGTCAGCGGTTTGCTAACCAAATCAATGATTTTTTGGGGAAATAACGATTCTGGGGTAAAACAGAACTGGTCATCTGACTCGTTCCCGGTTTCTCTAGTCCGACAGTCCAGTCCGATCAGGTTTTAAGAACCATGGCATATGTCATAAAAAGGGATCCGGGGTCATGAATTGGCATATATACCAATACGAGAGAGGGTTTGTGTGGTCACAGTCACACTTCAATCTCATAAATGGTGCTCCCTCTGGCATTTGCTCGAAAAAACCAAGGTTTTAAAAATTGGATTGGACATGGAATCGTTTTAGTCACCGGTTTTTGAGTTAGATGGTCTGATCATCCAGTTTTAATGGCGGTCCTTTCTGATTTAAAAAAATAATTAAAATAAAAAACATCCAAAAATAATTATTTAGGTTGATGGTTTGACCGCCCGGGTCAATGGGTCATTGACCAAATCAACAATTTTTAATTTAAAAACGATTTTAAAGTAAAACAGAACTAATTGCCTGAACGATTCTTGAGTTAACCGGTTTAACCATCCGGCCGGTCCGATTTTTCAAAACCATGAAAAAAAGTCATGCGCATTAACATTCAGTTCCGTTCTTCTTGTACGTTGATTAGGGAAACTGGGTAAATCTCATGAGTTAGGTCCATCATTCATTGGAATGTGGCACGAGACAAAGAAGAAAGAACTTCGTTTTTCAACTCCCCAAAATGTTGTACCGGGATTAGTTTCTTCCTAGGTCGCAACATCTTGGGATATGCTAAAAAAAAAAAAAGAATATTGTGAATTGTTTGGATGAAAGAACTTAGGACAGCTCGACCAAGTATGAGTACGTTGAAGAGGGCTCAGAGAAAGATCTTTTTAAAATTTTCACATCAGTCGATTTTTTATGTTGTGAGAAAATTTTCATTAGATAAAATCGATTTTTCAAGAACCAATAGAGGAATCCATTCAACTTGATTTCATGGATGAGATTCAACTATGATGCCAGAAAGACATGACACTGGTAAAACTTATAACCAACTAACCTGTATCATAAAAAATGGTAACCAATCAGATGGTATTCGTAAAGATTCACAGTTAGTTTTTGATGCATTTAAGCTATTTCGGTATCATACCATTCTGGCATTATAGATTTGCCCTATTTTAATTAACCGTGCTTTCTCAAAAAAGTAAAAAATAGGGAGATTCTTCGAACTCCTCAAAAGGAAAAATCTATGATGTAGAAAAGATATGGTATGGGAAAAATTTTGGCCAATCAAAACCCACTCATGAATTTTGATAAATAACACTTGATTGGCTATCAGTTTATGATTCCAGTTGACTGGTCAAAAATATTTCAGATATCATATCTTTTCCATATCATAATCGTATCCCCCCTCAAAATTACTGATTCGTAATGAACTCAACACTCTTTTGACGTGGCCAACCCTAGAATGATTGTAACTAACAACTGAGCAAAGATCTTCTAGAAGCAAAAATCGTATGCACACCATGACAACATGACATCTAGTTCAATATTTATATATTAAACTTATGGGGTATAATGCTAAATGTTATGCTCTCAGGATGTCTACATGATTTTTTGCTTCTACAACTAAGATTGAATCTACTATGTAGTCCACTTTATGGGGCTGCAACTTGGATGGGCCCAACCTGAGTTTCTGCATGGGTTGGGCCTGAGTTTTTGGGCTATAGTTCGGCTTGAGCCAAAAACTTGTACTTGAACTAAATTTAGAAAGGCCTCGGGGTGAGACCTCGAGTAGCTTAGCCCGATCCAATTGAACCTAACTCAATTTGAATCCATTTGAACAAATGCATACATACATGCATGCATTTTATTTATATAAAAAAATATCATTTTTTTCAAGGGTAAACATAGATTACTACAGTTGTAATCTATGATTTTGCAACAAAGATCCCCTTGAACTTTAAGATTTTGACAAAAAACTGTTAAGTTGAACGCTAGAAGAAGTTAATTTATTAAAACACCCACTCAAAAAATTTCTATAAAATGGAAATTGAAACAAAAAACCAAGAAATCTCATAGAAATTTGGAATTGCAACAAACGCAACATGTAAACTAAACCAGTAAAAAATGTTGAAAAAGGGTAGATTGATGATTTAAAAACATTTAAACAGTCACATGAGAACATTTTCCAAAGCTAATTGATAAAATGCTAATGCGGGGGATCTTTGTTGAAATCTGAAAATTCAAAAGGTCTGTGTCGCAAATAAAAGTTCTCTAAGGGTAATTGCCACTACCCAAAAGGTAATAATCTATAATTTGTCTTTTTTTTTTTATTTTGAATTTTATTAATATAATAAAATTATAAATAAAATTTAGTCAGCTTGTAAACTGTCATCGATACTATTATTGCAAAGTGAATGATTGATTTGGCTTTTATAGAAGTGATAAATGCTAAATTTGATGTATTCAAAAAGGGCTCCCATCTGCTACAAGCCATTCCCACATCTGTACTCATGGAACATTGACGCTGTGCATTAGGAATATCTCGCTTTCGGGTCAAGGGTGATTCTTTGATGTGGAAACACTTTGTGGGTAGCGGATTCATTGGTGTAGTTTCAGGTTATATCTTTTTTGAGATGTGCTTACGGGTGAGAGGTTCTGTGGGACACTTGTGGGGTGCTAATATGATCTCATCTTCTTTACCATTTATTTGCCGATTGCAGAGTTAAGATCTCCTACCAATGAAATGCGTTCTAACACCCTACCAGATCTGCTCTTTACAGAGTACATTGCTCACACTAATCTCACATTATATTTTAAGTGCATATCAGAAACATTTCCCATATTTATATTTATTATTCATAATGACATATTCTCAATAGATGGGATGCGGTGGGACCAGTAGATGTTTCGTGTCCGATGATGTTAATAGGTTGTTGGAATGTATTTTATTGAGAGGTGATCCGAATCTTACTTGCCACATCCCCTTAACACTAATAATTTTTCTAATGAAATTATGCACTTCCTCATCAAAGCCTTATCCCAATAATAATGACTAATGATAATTGATGTCTCCAACCAAGCCGACTATACTGTAGAAGTGCACCACCTTCAATGAGTGCATGAAATTCGGGTGCTCATTTGATGCGGCTAAATCTAGAATCATTCTCACCACTGAGATCGATTCTGCAGTGCAATCGGCTCTACCGTATCAGATCTCACGGCGGTGGTGTTTATAGGGATGTGGCATAACGAAATTACGTACTTTGCAATCTAAAGGTCTCGTAACACGTGTCGTAAACCAAGACAATGATGAATCATCCCTCGTAAATCGTGAACATCAATGCACATGGTTCGTCGTACATTTGTTGCGGGACCTGGGGATTTTTATTCTTTCACGTGAATCTCGACACGTGTCGCGTCTTTCTTTTTACATGTGAAATCGACAACGTAACAACCGACGTCATTGTAATCTTGTTGTTATTTTCTTCCTACACGGTCGTCTAAGCTAAAATAAAATGCCTCGACTGGAGTGTTGCCTAGTTGGTCTCCCCTGACTCCTAGCCAAAGTCGGTCGAGTGGGAGACGAACACGAAACTCGTCGCTGAATGTTATTATTTATTATTAACAAAAGTTACAGTTATAAAGCAGAGGCCGTGTTCAATCGATCAAACGCAACGCGAGGCTGATAATTAAGAGCTGATGCTAATATATAATAATGGAGAAGTAATAATTTTAATATTACAGGAAAATCTTGATTGATTGTTGATTAATAAACAATAAAATGGTTGCTTTTGGAATCAAATGACCACCATTCTCAGTTAGTCCTCTGTGGAGAGTGGAAACTGCAGAGTCCAGATGTTTCTCGTTTAGTGATATAGAAGAAGATTTAGAATTCGCGGCGCATTTTAGCGCGGGAATTCTATTCTTTTCCACGTTCAGTTTCGGAAATCTCGGTCGAAATTCCTCTTTTTGCGCTTGTTCTGGTGAAGGCTTTTGAAGGTTAGTTGGCGCACGTTACCAAGGAAGGACGGACTTACTTCCATCTCTCTCTGACTTGCAGATCCTTCTTTTTGATTTTAGCATTACGAAACACTTAAGGTTGAACTGAAAAGGTATGAGTTCGCGATTCTGTTGGCAGGTTTCTTCAAAGGATTTCAATGAACTCGGCTCTTTGTGTACTTCAATTTTCTGTTTTTTTTTTATCTGAGTTCTGAAGTTGGTTAATCGGAATTTGCATTTTTTGCAGTTACATTTTTTTTTTCTTTTCTCTCATTATGAACGTGAGAGGAATGGATTTATGTGGAGCTCTGTTTATGGATTTAGAATCCCTGTTTCTGATCCTATTATTAAGCTTTTCCGAAAGTGTTTTTTTTTTTTTTTCAATTCTATTCGCCTTATTGTTGCTATCTAAATCATTGATCAGAAGCAATTCTTTCAGTTTTGGCTCTTCTGTAGCGGAAATTCGTAATTTTGGGTAGAGATTTCAGCCTTCCACTTCTTATACATTTAAACATTTCTTAGTAAATTAAAATGTGTACGAAACCTGTAGATGGTGCCGTGTTTTGTGTTCTAAATATGGGAGGTTTTGTTTTGTGTTCTAAACCTGTAGATGGTTCTTCTCTGTTTGAAAATTGCGGTAGCGTTGTTCTCTTTACATCTGATCTCTGAGTCTTGTTATTTGTGTTTTATATTGGCATTTGGTGAGCTAGTGTATTAGCATTTTAGTTTCAAATATATACAAGATTTTTTGAATTGGTAGTTGGTTAAATTACGAGCATATAGCTTGGGAACGACGTTAGTATCGAAATCTAAAGCCATAAAACTGGAATTAGGAAGATTTATCAAAAAAAAAAAAAGAAAAAAAACTGGAACTAGGGATCCACGTGAATGAGTCATGGTTAATTTGGTTATGCAGTTTTAGAACGAAAGGCTGAATCTTCGTGGGCATGTGGGGTCGTCAAAATAATTCACGTGAAGTTCCCTCGCCATACAAGAGGATGCCGTCCAGAGATTATACGAATTTGCCTTGCAGAGAAGAAAATCCAGGTGCTTCTAAATTCCCATTTCTTAAACATCGTTAGAGGTCCTTTTGTTATATTTTCTATTGATGATCTGCCATTGCATAAAAAACCGAAGTTCTGCACCATTAATGATATGGTGCCTGCAGTTTTTTGATGTCCCTGCCACAGATTCCTGGAAACCTATATCATTCATAAAATGTATTAGTTCATCAGACACCTGATATTCTAATAGAGTTGTTATTATTTGGTGACATGGTGCTATATACCTCCTTTGCAGATCCCCCCTCTCTCTTTCTCATCATGTTAACAAAATATTACCAGATGATCATAGAAAGGAAAATAATAGCTGAAGAGAAAATGTGGAAGCTAAAAATTTGAATATTTTTTTAATGTTGTAGTGATGTTATACCCTTTTCTTATTCATGATTGAAATCATTCTTGAATTACAGAAATGCAGTTACATTACACACCACCAAAAAAGGAAATGGTAGAGTTTAAGTTTAGAATTATACATGTATAATTTGGGATGATACTTTGAAGTTTGAACTAAATTCTCCTATCATTTTAGCTCGTTTCCAGATTAGTGTGGGGCCAGAAACTACAACAAACCCTTCCTGGAGGCTCTCTTTGCCTCATGTACTTGTGGCAACCATATCTTCATTCTTATTTGGCTACCATCTTAGGTTTGTTCACCCTCTTCACAACCTTATTATCATTTGTTTCTTTTTGATATATTTTATTTTATTTTATTCTTCTTTTCTTTATAATTCTAATGATTCATTTATTTCTAAGAAGCGTTTTCTTTGGTGGTATTTGATTCTGTTGCATACAGTGTGGTTAATGAGCCACTTGAAAGCATTTCCCTAGATCTTGGTTTTGGTGGCAATACCCTGGCTGAAGGTGCTTCCTTAATGAATTTTTGTGTTATTTGGTTACTGATTTGCATTTGCATTTTAATTTCCATCTTAAATGCCTATTTAAATACTTCGTTTATGTTAAATGAAGGTCTAGTTGTGAGTACGTGTTTGGGCGGTGCTTTTCTTGGATGTCTACTCAGTGGTTGGATTGCTGATGGGGTTGGGCGGCGCAGGGCCTTCCAGTTGAGTGCTTTACCAATGATTATTGGGGCTTCTCTGAGGTATATGTGTGCATCCACAAAAAAAAACTGCACTTTCTGCTTACATTCTTATACAGCTTATGCTTATTTATTTATTTTTGATTGGTGGCTTATGCTTGAGATTTTTGTTTGATAAAGAGTAAGAATTAAATCGGGCCTTGTTAGATAATTTGGATATTCACTTCTTTTTTATTCCAAATACCTGGCTTTTGGTTTGTTTTGTGTCATTTGCACTGTTGTGCTTGTGGAGTTCCAATACCTCTTCGTGGAAGAAGCTCAGGACCACAATACTTACAACTTAAACATGAGTTAAATCAGCCTTCCTATTTTTGTTCTATTACTTGGTTTGGCATGATTGCTAGAAACTGTATACTTCTTTTGACTGTAAAAATGCATTTATAAGAGGCAAAAGTGCTTAGGATATTTCAGAGACAATGCTCATACATTTACATTTTAGAGGTTTGGTTCTGATTTCTCTCTCCTATTTGGTTACTTTCTACCATCTTTTCTTTGACAGATTTATGTGAATTGTACTAGATACTGATGAAAGGCAAATTCCCTTCCGTATAGTTATTAAAGGAAACTCCTCAAAAACAAAAAGAGCAAGAGGTTAATTTGCAAAAGGGTCCTAACACCTAAACTATGTAATCACTCAGGTGTTGTTGAACATATTTTTTTTTTTCAGTGCAACAACAAAAAATCTGGAGGGAATGCTTTTTGGGAGGTTTTTGGTTGGAACTGGGATGGGTCTGGGTCCAGCTGTTGCAGCTCTTTATGTGACAGAGGTACAAGGGACTGCTTTCTGTTATTGTGTAACATTCTGGGTTCATTAATATTACTTGTACTTATTTATATGATGTCTTGCTTTGTCTATGTTGGCAGGTTTCACCTTCTTTTGTAAGGGGTACTTATGGAAGTTTCATTCAGATTGCAACATGTCTTGGACTGATGGGGGCATTATTCATGGGAATCCCTGCAAGGGAAATTAAGGGCTGGTAGGAACCAAGAATTTGAAGTTACAGTTTGAAAAACTTAGACAGTTATTTTGTACCTTATCCCTTCCTGGTTTTGCAAATCTAGAGAATTTTTATTGAACTTAAAAAAGTATTCTTTAATTAATTTGACATGTTCTCAGGTGGCGTGTTTGTTTCTGGGTATCTGATGTTCCTGCTGTGATGCTTGCTTCCTTTATGGTCTTCTGTGCAGAGAGTCCCCATTGGCTTTATAAGGCTATTTTCCTTCACTTCTTTCTTCCTTGGCTTTTATATATTGTTAAATTTTTGTGTTTGACATTTATTTTCAAATGAATGGACTCTGTTTCTGGTTTCTCTCTCCCTTTCTTCATTCCCCCTCTCAATCCTTGGTGGTAAAAACTCATCCAGTGTTCTAGGCCTTGTATGTCACTTTAAGAGTAACATTCATGTTGTGCTAGGGATTAGAGAATTGATGCAAATGCTACATCTTTCCATACTCTACCCTTCCATTTCTTGCTGTTTGCATCTTACTTCTCCATGCGTTCCTTCCTTTTGATCCATAACTTATGTGGATCATCATATACTTAGTAAACATTTGAACTGTAATCCCCCAAAGTCTCTCCGAGTTTCTAAGTTCCTACTTTATTCTTCACATGATTACCCTCCTGTTTATCTTTAATTCATTTTAGATTGTCAATTATACTCCTTAAATATGCATCAGGATTTTTCATTTTCTTATTCTAGAGTCACTGTGTAGCGCACAAATTCTAACAAAGCATATATGTTCAAGAAGTACATAGAAGTAATTTGAGAAAAAGGCAGTCTAAATGCTCCTGTAAACATTGTTAAACTATGTGTGTAGATGAATGATTTATTCTGTAAACAAAAGCATCTGTGACTTTTCATAGAAACCTAATTCACATCAGAGGAGACTTAAGTTAAAGTATATTGAACATGTTGTATTACCATATTACTTGAAATTTTAAGAAATGCTAGTACATTCCTTTCAATGCTATATGTATGGCATGCAGGATAATCATTAGATCAATTGATAGGATCAAGGTAAGGTGTCATAGGAAAAAAGGTATTTTATCTATTCAATATCAATAAAATCAATGGTCCAATGTGGACTACATTACTTTATAATTTTGAACTTATAGACATTGATAAAACACGTCCCATTTCTTCTACTGTATTTGTGATGGAGATAACGAATCAACATACAGTCAGTACATTTTAGAATAGTTTATTGGATTATATGTTCAGGATTTTATGGGCCATCTTTATGTATATATGACCCACTACATGCATTACTTTTGGTATGTAAATCATTTGAATATAGTAATCCTGTTTATACACTTATACAGTCAATTTTGATTAGGAACATCTTAAGTTTTCTAAAACAGAAGCATTGATTAAAATTTAAATCATGATGGACTGGAAGTAGTTGGCCTACTCAGTAGAACAACATTAAGTTAAACCTTGATGCTTGCAATCTTGGCAACTTGGGAAAAGGGGGCTTTTGGGAACATGAAGGTTAGGTCTTGGTAATCTATTTAGGTGCTATAGGCATTGGAAATCCCATTCTAGCTGAATGGCTATACCTCCTACAAGCTTTGAGATTGAAGACTTCATTGGTAGACCTGTTCATGGGCTGGGCTCGGGCTTGGCTTTTGTCAAAATTTTAATGGGCCCGGCCCGAAGCCCAAGCCCGAGACAGTGTAAAGTTGGGGCCGAAGCCCGGCCCGTGAACAAGTCTATTCATTGGGATATGCAAGGTGGGAAATTGAAGGTGGTTCTCAAGTTATACTAGAATGGATTAAGGGTGATGGATAAGGTCCATAGTTGTACCTAAATTCTATAAGGGAGGTTAGATTTTTGGTAGGGCTGCAAAAGACTGAATCGAAAATCCAACTTTTATTTGTTTATACTCAAATTCAGATCGGATCATATTCATTGGATTTATATTGAATTCGGATTGATTACAGATTGCAATCGGATATTGAATAGTGTTAATTAAATTAAACTAAAAATGACCAAAATATCATATATTATTAATAAAATGAACTAAAAATGACTTTGATATTGTATTTCATGAACAAAATGAATAAAAAATAACATGGATGAAAATATCATATATTATTAATCTCCTCTTTCTCTCTAATCTTTTATTAATCTTACTAAGATTACATAAATTACAATTCTAAATTACAATTCTGCCCTTAAGTGGGCGTCCACCTCAGCAACATACATAGAAAACATAAAAAGAATTAAAGGCCCATTAAGAACAAATAACAAGAAAGAACTAATCGATAAGATAGTAATGGGCTAGGGCCCATTCGACCCAATCTCTCTATAGATCCAACTATAAACGAATCAAATTTGGATCACCCATAATGGAACTGAATTCAAATATGAACAAATGGGTACCGTTTACAGCCCTAATTTTTGGCCTTCAGCATGAACACCTCATTCATATTGCTTCAAAATTCTAAAAAATTCCAAAGTAGATACCTGACTAGGGAAGGTGTTAATAGGGAAACTCTAAATTGGGGCCTGCCCCATACAGTCTGGCTGGCTTTATGCTTTCTTATACTATTTTTTTTAGAAATAAAATTTCTTTGATTTGTTATCAATAAAAATGTTTTTACTATTTATATGTGCAAAGTCCAGTTGTTTATATTTTATTTACTTAAAATTGAATAAGTGAATTTTAATTGTCAAAAAGAAAAAGAAAGTAATACCTAGGCAACAACTAACCTTGACAGGCCTAAGAACCTACCTTTTCACCTTGACACCCTGACTATACTGGTTTAGTCTCATTGTCTTTGCAAGTTGCAGTTTTGAGTATGTTAACAAAGACACAGATGTGTGTCAATCTATGGTACCCAAATGACTGTACATGTTCCAGACTATCACTATAGATACCATAAAATATGTATATATACAGGATGTTACACACCACACACCATCTATACAATTTCAATGTATCTCATTTTTTAATAAAAAAGCATTGAAGTAATTGAAAAGTGGTTAAGGATCTAACCCCATGAAAGGTGGCTTAGTCTGGGTTCCAGAAGGGTAGCCCCTAAATCAGGGCCTGAATTATTCTATAACAATTTCTGGCAATTATCTTAGGCTATGTGTCATCCAGACACTTTTTTTTTTTTTAGATTGTTATTGTTATTGTTGTTGTTGTTTTTCCTTTGTTGAGTCTATAGGGGGTAATTTGGTTGTACAGAGGTGATTGTGCATGATATCTTTGAGGAGCTGGTAGAAGGTAAAAGTTCATGTTATCCCTAAGGAGGTGACCATTTTTGAGGCTACCTCTAAGATGGTGATTGCATTTTTTTGATCAGTAATGAATGGAGAACTTCATTAATATGTATTAGTAGGTGGTGACCAAATATTGATGTCATCTCTAAGAAGGCTACTTTCTCAAAAAGTAGCCCCAATGAAAGTTGCCATAAATTATATATTACGATATTTTTGAAGGAAATGGAAAGTTTTGGCTGCTTACTTTAAGCTAGAATTGTCTCAATCAAAAGTCTGATACTTTTTCTTATCAGAAGCTATTGTACCCAGATACCTGTATATGCCTAGTGTACTGGTGTCAGATACAATACTAAATATTGCATTTAGATGTGTTCTTTAGCATTAACACTTTTAAAATATGTAATATGCAATTTGGCATGTTTTCACAAATTACACAATAAAATATTTCACATCTTAGAAATTTTATTAAATTTGGCATGACACAAGTCTTAAGAAATGACATTTAGCTTCAAAACTTAGATATAAATGCACAATATTTATATAATCATATTACATGAGTACCCATATCCGTGCCCAGGATTTAGGAAATGGAGAGTCATATCTCCATTGCTTGTATCTGTGCCCATGTCCATATCTATATGTGCTATTATGGCTGGGAAGTCATTTCTAGTAATCTTAGTGCAAGGCTAGGTTATTCTAATAATTCTCTTAATGATACCTAGACTCACATTGGGGCTCTAGGTATATTTCTATTCTAGTTTTTTTGGTAAATGGAGAAGTTTTCTCCTAGTTTCCCAAATTAATGTCCACATCCATGTCCTTAATTGGGAATCATAGGTTTTAGGTTTTGACACTAAGTCACTAACATTTAACTCTCTTGACACAAAATCAGAAAACTGTAAATAGACTTAGCATTATAGAAATGTCAGCATGTGTCTGAAGTGTGGATGGAAACATGGTGCTTATCACAGCATATTTTCATAATATGGAGTGTTGATAAGAATTTATTACCAATGCTATCTTCTCTATAACAAATGCTTACATTTACTTGCATATTACAGCAAGGAAGATATGTTGAAGCTGAGGCTGAGTTTGAGAAGCTCTTGGGAGCATCACATGTCAAGTCTGCACTGGCTGAACTAGGAAAGTTAAACAGAGGGGATGAAGCAGAAACTGTAAAGTTTTCAGAGTTACTCTATGGTCGCCATTTTAGAGGTGTCTATGGTGATATGTATTGATCTCTTATACGGATTTATGACACATCTGATTCTTTTGCTTTTAGATGCAAATTTCAGTTGTTTTTCCTTTTGCAGTTGTTTTTATTGGGTCAACCCTTTTTGCTTTACAACAGCTGTCTGGTATTAATGCTATATTCTATTTCTCATCAACTGTCTTTAAAAGTGCGGGGGTACCTTCAAACCTGGCTAACATTTGTGTGGGACTAGCAAATTTTTCAGGTATGTATTACTAAAGTCTTAAGTATCTTGTTTGTATATGTTAGAGCTTGGAAGTATGAAAAACTCTCCTAACTGCACAAGTTGTTTTCAGGGTCTATTATTGCAATGATTTTGATGGATAAGCTGGGGAGGAAAGTGCTTCTAGTGGGGAGCTTCTTAGGAATGGTAAGTTGTTTTCAGACACCATTTTCTGAAATTAACCATTTATGTACTAGCCATTGGTACCATACTCATGCTGTGCCATTTAAATACCATTGTCCTTCTTGTAGTGCACATCCAGACACTGTTGTCTGCCTCCGTTCCATGGTATAGCCAATGGCATCTTCTAAGGAGGAAATAAAGTTTTTTTGATAATGGTGACCATCTAATTTATGGATTTGTTTCATCTGATTGTTGGCCTGTTATTTGAAACCTCCAAATACAACTTAACATCTTGGATAAGGATATCTCAAGATGGGACCAATGAATGAAAGGGCCAATCTGCTTTTGACCTGTGTGGTTATGGCACTTATATGTTATAAACTATTAACGGGTCTCAAGTTTTTTCCTTCTGTATGATGCATCATGTTGATCTCTGAAATTTGAAAATCTTTGTTCATTTTCTCCATTCAGGCAGTAGCGATGGGAATCCAGGTCATTGCTGCAGGCTTTCACATATTGGGCTCTGGAGCTTTGTATCTATCTGTTGGTGGAATGTTACTGTGAGTTAAATACAACTTGCATATCTTGAAGTTAAAAATCTGAATATTCTCTCTTTGACTGGTAAATGGAGCTGAAAGAAAACTTACATAAAAAAGTTGTGATGATAAACTTTTAGTTCTTATAGATCTGTAAAATCATGACATTGTGGGTCCAATCCTGCATGGGATGAAAAAGAACAGAAAAGGAAAAGAAAATGGAAAAAAGGATGGAGCATTTATGTTTGTAGTGGCTTTTGATGGGTATTCTTTCACATTAGGAAATATGTGGTTGCCTTGGAGCAACTGTATCAGATGGCTGAATGTGTTGACAAAAATTGTGCAGGCATTTACTGAGTTTGAGATAAGCCCTTAAGTTTTTATTTTGACTTGAACCAAGGAGAAATTTAGTAGCTCATTTGACTTGATGATAAAGCATCCTAAAAATTGATAAATAGATGAAGAGAATTCTGAAATATCTGAAAAGTATCTGTAATTTATGATGCAAATTGATTAAACTCATTTTTGATATAGTATCTTTTAAGAATCATTTTTCATGAATTTTTATTATTACCTGCCAGTGTGATCTTGTCTTGCACTGCCCATTGCAAGCTTGGATAAAGGAGGGTTGTGTCAAATTGGCAGCTGACATTAAAACTTTTGCTAAACTATTATGGACATAGATCTTGAAATTTCATTTAGTCTGCTCATGCTAGGGTGATCCCTGGAAACTATATGCTACACTTTAACTTGAATGTGATAAGAAATAGGCAAGGTGTGCTAGGGTGTTATGGATATGGAACCGGACAAAGCAGAATAGTGGAACAAGATTCACGTAGCTGATGCCATATAGTTGGGGCAAAGCTTGGTTGAGTTGAGTATTACAGTTTTGATACAGAATTTGTAATGAGCTGATTTTTTGAACTTGTTTATGCAGGTTTGTCTTCACATTTGCAATGGGAGCTGGTCCAGTCCCAGGTCTCCTTCTACCAGAAATCTTCCCCAGCCGCATTAGAGCAAAGGCTATGGCTGTATGTATGTCTGTACATTGGGTAATTTTCTTCTTCTTGATTTTCCTTTGAAGTATTTTCCTGCTTCTCTTCTTTTCATGTGGCAAGGAAGTATTTAATTTTCAAGAACCATAGCTTGCAAAATTAGTATCCCAAGACTAGCATATTACATAATTAGTATCTCAAGACTAACATATCCCAAGACTAACAAAAAACAAGATTCATTGTGCAATTAATTTAGAAGTATCACTTAAACCCCAAAAAACATCAGAAAACTTGATGGCAAGAAGAGATGAAGCCAAGACACAGAAAATAGCAATGGCCATGTAAGGTTAGTCCAAGTTGTCTCGAAATAAGCAGGCCATCCCTTTCCCTTCTTTGGCTTCACTAGGAGATCTATGTCCATTATCCAAGCATCAAAACCTTGGATCAGGAAGTATCCACCTACACTAATTTTTTGCACTGGATGAAGGAAAGAGACATCAATGTACCAAATATTTAATAATTTTCCTGCTTTAGCTGAGTCTCAATCTCCAATTTAAGGAACTGCTGCCTAGCATCTTTCACAATTACTTTACTATAATACGGAAAGGCAAATAAGAATTTTGTAAGATGTTTGTGTCATTCTGACCTTGGGGTATTCACCAATGACTATTTTTACATCATTTCACTTGTGTACTTGGGGGTGGGATGGCTTTTGGGAATTTAGTTGTGTTAATTGTGAATTATGGTTATTCTTTCCTAGGCCTAACTATTGGTTTTCAGGTGGTAAATTTTTTTGTAGGATTGTTATTCCTGCGTTTACTGGAACAATTTGGACCACAGGTCTTGTACACCATGTTTTCTACTTTCTGCTTGATAGCAGTGGTTTTTGTGAAGAGAAATGTGGTGGAAACCAAAGGAAAATCACTCCAAGAACTTGAGATAGCACTTCTTCCACCAGAGTAGAGGTATTTTTGTTTTGTTGAAATTAAAATTCACCTTGCTATTTTAGATAATAGCATATTTATTTGAATGAAGTCGTGGGCTTAGGCTTCATTCTTTTTCCCTGTTTTGACCAAGTACAACAACAGTGCTCATTTTTGTTTTGACTAAAGCATGTTTCATATAAATTAATGGATCTTGTTGATCTGCAGGGAAATTATGGCCATTTAATATGATTCTTTCAGAGAGGTTTTTGTCTGGTTTCTTTGCAGTGTTGTTCCTTTTTTTATCGATTTTGTCCCTCTCGTGGAGTTACATTTGGAGACTTCGGCAGGGCCATTCATCTGGTCTTCACCTGACTAGGCTGGTGTAAATTCAGAGAGAGCTTCTGTTTGAATATGCTGTGAGCATCATGATTCTCTTCCTCCTAAATTTTCATGTTGCTGCGATCCATCTTTTGATAAGAAAACTAGATTTTGCAACTACTTAGGTAAATATGCATGAGGTACTTGAGGGCTAAATTCTCCTGTAAATGTTGCAAGTATGCATATATTCAAGAGATTAGCATTCTTTTTATGTGGGTGCATGGTGGCACTCCAAGATGATTCATTGTAAGACCACTAAACAAAAGGCTTTCATTGGAGAGAATTGTTGTGTCACCCATCCTAGATGTTGGCTTTTGTTCTTTTACCTGCAGCCAATCATACCCCTTTATATGCCAGACCACACAACGGAGTTATTGCAGCTTTCATAAATCCTCCTTTCTCCCCGGATTCTATCTAGTTAGTAAAGAAAATCTTTAGTTTAAATAAAATCTTCCTTGAGAGAGTTTTTTTGAGGCCTGTTTTCTCATTCTATCTTATCAATCAAGGCCCTGTTTATATGGTAGGATTCCCTTATACCAAGAAGTCGAATTTTCGTTGGTTTTCAAGTATATGTCCATGGCTCTCAAATTGATAGACCACGTCATTGGGTCAGCTTTTTGACAGATTTTGGGAAGGAGAATGGTTTGACAATATGTGAGCGTAGCTGACACTGATTTTCTTTGAGCTTGAGATTGATAGCCCACATCATTGAATCTGCGTTCTGACATATTTTGGGAGGAGATGGTTTGACGTTGTGTATGTTAGTGTAGCTGACATTCATTTTATCACGGGTTGCCTACTTACCTCTAATTGACAGAGTAGAAGCATTCTGAACTCTGATCCATGCTTTCAGTATTTTCTATTTTCCGTTAAGAACAAGTTCCGCAGATACTTAACTGTTACTGCTTGGAGCACTTTGCAATGTTTTGGTGTAGCCTTAAGGTTGAAGAAGAAGAAATGCCTGGAAATTGAAGCAGGATTTGGTCTGAGACGTTTCTCTTATTTCTCTGTTCCTGGGAAACAGTCGAACAGAAACAAATTCTGCTCCAGAAAGATAGCTCTGACGTCTAGCTGATCGGTGATGCTTCTCCATACGAAAAATAACATCGTGATATATATATTTTTTCAACTTTACTAGACATGCCTTTACGCAGATGGAAGATCTATATCGGATAGGAAGTGTAACTATGCAGACAACGTTTTCAGCTTTCATATACACCGTTTCTGCACTCGACGGAATCAGTATTCAAAACAAGTATATACCTGGATCCTAGTTTGATTCATTAAGGCTATGTTTGGTTTGAAGGAAAAAATAGGGAAAGGTAGGAAAATCTTATCTTGTATAGGTTTTCTTACCTTTTCCTGGATTCAAATAGAATCTTATTTGTCATATTTATATTGCACTGGGTTTGAATTTAGATATAAAATAGTAATAATTAATAAATTAAATTAAAACGGTCAAAATATTATATACTATTAATATAATGGGCTAAAAACGAGTTAAATATCGTATTTCATGAACAGCATAAAATAATTTGTATTATATTTTTTACTAAAAATGCAACATTCAAAATTTCAAATCAAACTTACGAATATAAACAATGTAAATATTCGAGTATATATTGAATTTGGGTAAATGGATACTGTGTGCAGTGCAATTTCATTTGCATTGCTGCACTGGTACAACACGCAAATGAGCTGAGTGGCTTACTTCTCTTTTGTGAAGAGACCACATCCGCTCCTGCACAGCACATTGAGAAGTTGCACATCGTGAACAGTAGGGGTGGAAATGAATCGGATCATGATCCGATGCGATCTGATTTGGTTAAATTTGGATCACCCCTGGTTGGATTTTGGATCGGATTCATCATTCCTTATTCGATTTGAAAAGATCCGATCCAATGTGTTATATATTTATAAATATAAAAAAATATAATATATATATGTTATTCATTTATTTATAAATTTATTATATTAATTTTTTATAAAAAAACATGTATTTATATGATAAAAATAATTAAAAAAATACATATTTTTTTGTTTTTTATTTAAATTGGTATATTTTATTTTTTTAATAATTTATTAATTTTTAAAGAAAATAAATTGGATCAAATCAGATCTGAAGATCCGATAGGATTTGAATTCAGTTCAAGTCCTATCAGATTTGATCGGATTAGATCTGACATGAACAGTGTCAAATCTGTTTCGAATCCGATCCGATCTGTTTGCATCCCTAGGGAACAGCTGCAATCTGCTTTAGGGTTGATCTGAGGAATGCTCTTTGAATAGCAGATCTAGATTCAAATCTTCAAACAAAGTGAAGTAAAAGCTGAAGCAAAAATAGATCAGGATTTCGATACCAAACGGACCCTTATACTAGTGCAAAGGAATTTGCACTACAAATGGAGTAAAGACCAGTACACAAGATGAAAAGGAAAGAGGGGAGTTTCTTTGCCCAAGACTTCAAGGGAACCATACTCGTTATCGCATGTTCGCATAGTTTATAAAAAAAGTAGAGGATAACTGAATCAATTTATCCAAAAAGCTGAAAGAAAAAACCCTTTTATTTCGACCTATAGTGTATATGGAGTTGTAACACGGTGAACTCATGCTGTTATTGAATGCTAGACGAATTAACTTCATGAGTCAAAATAAGATTATCAGGTACTTATCTTGGGGTCATTGGATGCTAGAGGTCAAACCCCTTTAACTCCCATCCCATGCTTGTTGAAAGAGAAAATGCAGCCATTATTCTTTGGCTGGGTGCATTTCTATCTTGGGTTTTCAACTATGATCTCTGAATGAAATCTAAATGGTATCCTATACATTAATTTCATTTTTAGAAGTTCAAGGACCTAAAGAAAAACATCTCTGAATGAAAGCTGAATGGTATCATATTCATTCCACTTTGTTCGTCTAGCAAATCATTTTAGTGTTCTGTGTTCACCACCTTGCTAGGTTTTCTTCTAGGAGTAGAATAAAGTCAAAATTAAGCTTTAATTGCTTTACAAGAGTCTGATACTTAAAAGAAGCATTGGAATTCACAAGTGGGACCATGTAAGTAGCATAAAAGCATAAAGATGCTGCAATCAAGATTCAAAATATCGATATGTCCGATACTTTGATAGGGGCGTATCGGGTGTTTCAATACTTGTTTTTTTACTTTTTTTTTTTAAACTGGTTCAGGACCCCTCCATCCCCTAAACCGGTCAGACCCCCGATACACCCACTGTAGGGGCGTATTAGAAGGGTCCTAGAATGATACGCATCGGTCGATACGTTCCGATACGTAACGATACTTTGAACCTTGGCTGCAATCACAATTTTCTTAAAAGTGGCAGCCAAGGTGGGGTCCATGTAAGTAACATATGTGAAAACCGAAACCGAACAGAACTGAACCGAGTTATGTGAAAAATATATATTCTGAAAACATATATGTTAAATATAGATATTTTAGTTTTAAATAATAAATATATATCTGAAAAAAATATATATTCTGAAATATATCAAATATATATTTCTGGAAATTAGAAAAAATATATTTTGATATATTTGTATATGTGTTATGGTTTTAAATATATATTTCCAGAAAATATATTCTGAAATATTAGATATAATATTAACACTTTGACTTCATGTGCATTGTGCAAGTTTGGAGTTGGTTGAAACCTAAACCGACCTAAACCGATTCAAACTGACTAGGTCGATTTTACTTAATAGAGGGTCAGTTTCGATTTGATCTATAGATAATCCGACCAGGTCGGGTCGATTGATAAAAACACTAATAAACTAATCCAACCGGACCTATGAACAGCCCTATCTGAAAACGAGTTTTGGATTTTCTAATTTGTACAAGGGAAAGCGTGGCCTCTCCTTCATAGACCCACCCTAGTTCAGGAAGCTCTCTGATGTTACAGGCTTTTTTCTGGTCTTTAGGCTTCACATTTCTGGTCTTTGCATGTAGGCTTCACATTTCTTGAGCAATTAATTCCTTCGGTACATCTTGTTTCTAGTCTTTAGGCTCAATTTGAAAGGAGTGTAAATAGAAATATATATGAACGTATATATTTATACTGTACACATTTATATTTATATCTATATGATGTAGTTTGAAAACAAAATTAAGCAGAGAAAACATTCTCTTGATTGTACGTGTTTTTATTTTTCAAAACCAAAACCAAAACCAAAAACAGGTTGAATCTCTGGTTAACACCCTTTAATGCACCAAATAATCAATTAATATTAATTGTTATTGCTTTTTTTTGGGAGAAACTAAGGTCTTCTACGTACTACTTAATAAAATAAAAAGAAAAATATAAGAAACGTACCTTTCAGTATCATATTATCACCTAATAACATGCACGATATATCATCATAATGCATCAATTGGGATAACTTGCTTGGCAACTCATCAATTTCTGCCAAATGGAGAGGAGTCGTTGTCCAATCCATACCATCCATTAATTTGTAGGCAACCGTTGGATCCGGTCTGTCTCTACTTTCACAATATGGGTCAGTCACGACGATTATATAATAATAATAATAATAACAATGTCATACAATTAGCAAAGGTCCACTCATAATTTATTATGATGAAGGGAGCAGGTTAATCATCACGTTATATCAATTTCTGTTATATTTCAATATTCCATTGAGAACAATAACTTTCCTATAAAAATCTTGTTTATTTTTTATTAATAGTCACCTTAGACAGATGGCCAAGGTTGGATGGGTTCCAATATTATAAGTTTGTTTCTCATCATTTTCTCTATATCAAAATTAGAACCCACTCTGAATATTTATTTTATCAGCTGAATTCATTCTAATAAAAGAAAATTATTCTATTCTAAAGAGTTAACAGATCACTTTTCTCATGAACGTACGTAAGTAATCTGCTGCCAAATTGCTGGTAAAATCTTTGATTGCTTGTGGTTGCGGTGGAGGTTTAGTTTCAAATGTTGCCTTCATTAAGGAAGGGGGTTTAAGGTTTGGGGGAGGGCTTTTCAATTTTATTCAAGGTCTAAAACTCTAAATCATTTTATCTTTCTTATTTTGTAGAAAATTATTTAGATGCTAAAATCATAGAATAATAGGTTAGTTATTATTACTTCTTCAAACTATTAATATTGTATAAGCAAAAGGTGTTATGATTCTAACCATTCTAATAATCAGATGAGGGCTCTCTCTCTCTCTCTCTCTGAAAACCTTAAGGTTATGTTTGGTTGAAAGGAAAAGGCAGGGAAAGAAAAGGCAGAAAAACCTATACAAGATTTGTAAAATTTTTTCTATCTTTTTCTTTCTTTCCTTACTTTTTCCTTCAAACCAAACATGGCCTAACGGCTTTAGCTTTGATTGAACTGCTTTTATTGAATCACTTTGAAGAACAGAAAAAATGATTTCATGACTAAATTAAAATATATTAATGATTTATTGACTTTTGGGTTTATCGCCAAACACAACTTCTAGGCTTTCTATGTGGAGTCCATCTTAAACGTAACTGAATTGATCAATAACCCTATATTAATTAATTAAGCTAGCTAGCTAGGTAAAAGAAGCATACTTACGAAACTACGACAATTACTTTTGAAAAAATAATTGACCATAACTCTATATTAATTCATTAACCAAACGCCATCCCAAAGCTCATCAAACACATAACCATGCATGAATCGCTGTTCTCTCCCATCGACATTCAAACACGAGGTACTCGGAAAAATTTCCGAAAATTTTTGGCCGGCCCCGAATCTCCCTCCCCGGCCAATTCAGGGAGACGATCGACAGCCGGTTTTAGATTAATAAATGGGAAAATTCTTTGTAAGTACTCTGTACTTTAGGCCTAGTGACAATCTAGTATCCGAATTTTAAAATATCATAATTTAGTATTCGAACTTTCAATTTGTGTCAATTCAGTATTTGGCGTGACACGAGGTATTCGGAAAATTTTTGGAAAATTTTTGGCCGGCCCCGAAGCTCCCTCCCCGGCCAATTCAGGGAGACGATGGACAGCCGGCTTTAGATTAATAAATGGGAAAATTCTTGGTAAGTACTCTGTACTTTAGGCCTAGTGACAATCTAGTATCCGGATTTTAAAATATCATAATTTAGTATTGGAACTTTCAATTTGTGTCAATTCAGTACTTGGCGTGAAATCACTGTCAATCAGAATGCAAAAAGACATAATTACCCACTTGCGATTTTGACTAATGTATGAATTATGTTTCAAAATGATGAAAATGACCCCAACTATAACATCCTTTCTGGACAAGTG